AGCCAGATTGGAAAAGCTCTAAGATGACGTGATCCTCCAGGAAGCACTTCAACTGGGACTCGACTATTTTCTCCAGTACTTTAGAAACAAATGGGAGTTTGGAGACAGGCCGGAAGTTGGAAACGACTGAGGGGTCAAGGTTTGGTTTTTTCAGGAGAGGCTGGACGGCAGCATGTTTAAAGGATTTTGGCACCATGCCAGTGGATAAACTACTGTTTACTATATCAAGAATGGACGGACCTAGAGTTGGAAACACCTCCTTTAGTAGTCGAGGGGGGACCACATCAAAGGGGGAGCCAGAAGGTTTCAAGCTGCACATGACCTGCTCTAGAGAAGATAGAGTGATGGGTTCAAAATGGTCAAAAGGAGCTACAGATTGAGGTGGGATGGATGGGTCATGAGTTGGAGGGGAAATGAGAGCCCTGGTGGTCGCAATTTTTTCCAAAAAGAAATGTAAGAAGTTGTCGCACAGCTCAGTCGAGGCTTGCAGAGGTGATGGTTCAGTGAGGTGGAGAACAGAGTTTAGGGTGGAGAAGAGGACATGTGGGTTGTGAGAGTTTGAGGTAATTATATCAGAGAAGAATTTTGATTTAGCAGCTTTTACTGCTTTCTGATAATGGCGCCAACTCTCTTTAAGTATCTGGAAAGAGACCTGCAGCCTGTCTTTCCTCCACTTTCGTTCCGCCCTCCTACATTGCTGCCTAACGGCCTTGGTGACGTCACTCAGCCAAGGTTCTGCTTTGATTTTTTGGTTTTAACAGGTGCAACATGATCCATAGTCTTTAAGCAGACAGAGTTGAACTGGGATGTCAGCTCCTCAGTGGTGGTGAGAAACACTGGGGCCTGAATTATCATTTCAGAGTTATAAACATCTGTGAAACGTGCGGCAGTGAAGTGGTTAATGGTCCGAGTCCTACGTGCAGGAATGCATGACTTAGGAATTAGATGGGGGAGGGTGAACTCAAACCGGACTGGCATGTGGTCTGAGAAAACATTATCACCAATAACAAGATTATTAACAGTCACATCATGAGTTTAAACAAGGTCCAGTGTATGTCCACACTCTTGGGTGGGACAGTTTACATGCTGAGTTAAATTAAATGAGTCCAATAAATCTAGAAAAGTCCTTAACCAAGGGCTTCTCAGGACAGCACACATGCAAATTAAAGTCCCCAATAATGAAAACATGCTCATATTTTGGTGTGATTTCAGCCAAGAAGTCAGAAAACTCATTTATGAAATACATAGACCGAGGTGGGCGGTGGCATGGGCAGCTTGCATGTCTGGAAAGGCACCATTAATGCAGAGAACTATGTTCAGGTTCTAGAACAACATATGCTCCCATCTAGACGTCATCTCTTTCAGGGAAGACCCTGCATTTTTCAACACGATAATGCCAGACCACATTCTGTAGCAATCACAACATCATGGCTACGTAGGAGAAGGATCCGGGTATTGAAATGGCCAGCCTGCAGTCCAGATCTTTCACCTATAGAGAACATTTGGCGCATCATAAAGAGGAAGGTGCGACAAAGAAGGCCCAAGACGATTGAATAGTTAGAGGCCTGTATTAGACATGAATGGGAGAGCATTCCTATTTCTAAACTTGAGAAACTGGTCTCCTCTGTCCCCAGACGTCTGTTGAGTGTTGTAAGAAGAAGGGGGGATGCCACACAGTGGTAAAAATGGACTTGTCCTAACTTTTTTGGGATTTGTTGACGCCATGAAATTTGGAAACAACAGATTTTTCCCTTAAAATGATACATTCTCTCAGTTTAAACTTCTGATTCTGTGATTTGTGTTCTATTCTGAATAAAATATTAGATGTTGGCACCTCCACATCATTGCATTCAGTTTTTATTCACAATTTGTTTAGTGTCCCAACTTTTTTGGAATCCGGTTTGTACCTATTCATACAGCACTCTACTAGATATCTACAAAGCCAATTGAACAAATCATTCTAGAGACTAATCAGAGCTTCATCACATTCATACACAGATGGGACACATATCAGAGGCAATGAGGGGTTCAGTGTCTTGCCCATGGAAACTTCAACATGTGATGGCTTGTGGAGTTGAACCTCCAACTCTTGCATTGGAGGACGACTGCTCTAACCACTCAGCCACAGCCGTGCATGTGAGTGCAGCTACAACGTGCACTCTCAGGACATTATTACATGCAGTGTTCCCTCAGTGCGGACTGAACTAGACAAAAGGGCCTTCTCCTACTCTGCTCCTGTTTCCTGGAAAAAGATCTGAAGCTCTCGACCACAACCTCTCTAAGTGGCTTCAAACATCTGCTAAGTTCATGGGAAAAAACAAAACAGACATGTTCCTGTTTTTGTATTTTTTATTGCTTTATAATTTAGCTTTTTTTTGTTTCTTTTTTTTTATATTATTTTTCTTCCATTTACTTTTCATTTTATATGCTTTTTTTATGATTGTCTACTGTTGTCATCTGTGTTCTTTGTTTAAAACAAAGTCTCTCTTGTAAATGAGTCCTCTAGGCTCAATGAGAGTAACCTGTATAAATAAAGGTTGAATGAGTGAATGAATGAATGAATGAATAAATGCCACTGGGCAGCTTGGTATGGTTGTGCGCATCACATTGAACACAGAGCAGAGAAAGTAAAATGCTAGACCATCTCCAAACAGCCTCATAATCCTCTCATCACAGCTGGCTATATAATCAAACAGTAGAAGGTACATGGCATTGTAGCCAGCCTCCCAGAACAAGGATGCAAGAAAAAATGCAACCCCAGATTTACAAGACAGATGATGTGGATGGCAGAAAAAGAATCAAGAAAATCATCCAAAACCATTCAAGCTGATCTCCAACACATCACTTTCTGATTGCACCATAAATCACATTTTCAATCATAATGGGCTTCATGAAATAAGATATAGGAGGGCTCTATTAAAACAGAAAAACACAAAAAAAGCCAGATAAGAGTTCATCAAAATGCATGTTGACAAGCCCCAAGGTTTCCAGGAAAAGTTCCTGGGACTGATAATACAAAAACAGAGCTTTTGGCCTCAAATCACATAATTTTTTGGATTATTGTAAAGGAGATTCAACAAATTTATTCGTCTGTAGTACCTTAGTTTTCTGTGTCTGGAGTACAGTCTGTAGTTTTTCAAGAGAAAGTGGCATTATTATTACTTGGAAAACAGCTTTTGTGCTGCCATTATTGAAGGGAGGAGACCCCACTATTGAACAATCGACCAATCTCCAAACTCTGTATTTTAGCTAAGGTTTTAGAAAAACTGATAAATACTCAAGTCAAGAAGTATTTGGACTCTTTTAATATTTTATCTTCTCTCCAATCTGGTTTCAGGAAACAACAAAGCACAAGGACTGCTTCGCTAAAAGTTTAGCAGTTAAAACAGACTGGTCAATTTTGACCGGGAACACTAAAGTAAGGGGCGGGAGGTGAACACAGCAGGAGGGTTAATGATGTTGTTGAAGTTTGGATGCTAAGGATTACTGTGCTGCACTTTACTTAGACCTGTCCAAAGCCTTTGATGCTGTAGATCATGACATCTTATGCCACAAGCTCTCAGATATTGGCTTCTCAGACCACACTGTTGGCTTGTTCTCAAACTATCTCTCAGGTCAGAGGCCTTGTGTTTGACATAACTGCACTTCATCTAGCTACCTAACGGTCACCAATGGTGTGCCACAAGGCTCAGTTTTAGGTCCCACTCTTGTTACAATTTATATAAATAATGTAGGTCAAAACATTCCTGATGCATCCTTGCATCTCTATGCGGACGACACTGTTGTCTATTGCCGAGCTAACACAGTTGCCAAGGTTTTCCCCTACAGTCTGCATTTGACATCATTCAGTCAGACTTATTCCATCTCAAGCTGGTGCTAAATGCTGACAAAACCAAAGGATATTGTTTTCCAACCGAAAATCGGTGCCAGCAACTCTTCCTCCTGTCTCATCCATGCATGGTGTTCCTATTGAGTTTGTAGAATCTTACAAATACTTGGGAATTTTGGTCAATGCACATCTCTCTGTTAAACCACATATTGAAAACTTGATAAAGAAACTGAAATTAAACTGGGTTTCTTTTTCAGAAATAGATCTTGCTTAACTCTGAATGTCAGAAAGCGCCTCGTAACCGCTACTTTCCTACCAGCCATTGACTATGGTGACATTATTTACATGAATGCCCCTGCCAGCTCCTTGCAGATGTTGGATGCTGTCTACCATAGTGCACTAAGATTCATAACTGGTTGTAACGATTATACCCATCACTGCACTCTGTACTCCTTAGTCAGATGGTCATCATTATCTACACAAAGGCTCTCACACTGGTTCATTTTCATCTATAAATCCCTCCTTGGGTCTGCTACCTTCTTATATCTCCTCCCACATGTCACGCCATCACTGCAGTTACAACATGCGCTCTCAGGCCATCATTACCTGCAGCGTTCCCTCAGTGCAGACTGAACTTGGCAAAAAGGCCTTTTCCTACTCTGCTCCTGCAACCTGGAACACCTTGGAACAGGAACTGAACTTGTCCTCCTTGATTTATTGAAGGGGTTTTAAACATTTGATAATGTCAATAGAAAAATCAAAGCAAATATGTTCTTGTTTTTAGTATTTTACCCTGTTTTATGGCACCCTGATTTATTGTTTTATACACTACTCTTATTTTAACTGTAGTTTCACTGTAGTTTATTGTTGTCATTGTTTATTGTTATCGTTGTCTGTACTTTATAAGTTCTGTCTGGAACAGGTCCCTCTTGTAAATGAGTCCCCATGGCTCAATGAGACTAGCCTGTATAAATAAAGGTTGAATGAAAAAAAAAAGTATTTCTTCAAGAAATGATTTAATACTTTTTAACTTTACTTCCAAGTCTCCTTGTCTTATATTTATCTTAATATTTATCTTTGCCACTTTGTCTTCAGCTTTCTTTTTTTTTAACCTGCCTCTCAAATCTTCTTTATGTAACTCCAGGAAGATGACCAGTCTCAGTCTTCTCACCTTTCAGCCTGATCACCGAGGGAGCCAATAAAAATGGCAAAGGCGTTGACCTGTGGATCAGATGTCAAAACCTGGGCAAAGCGCTCAGGACGGATTCCATATCGCTCCAAGTTTGCATCGCTCAGAACAATCACAAAATGCTCGTCAGCCTCCTCTTGTGTAATCTCCTTGATGCTGGCTTGTGTTGCCTCCAGAGTGTAGTCACCACTCATGCAGAACTGAGCGTGGGCATGCATGGTCTGAAGGGTGTGGCAAAAAAACAACATTATTATGTTAGTCTGAAGCAGAGACTAGATTAAATGCTTACATGATATGCATGCATCATTTATAAAATAACCCTTATATTTGACAATAATGCAAGAACATAAACACATGCTTATATGAATTTTGTGTTTTTGAAATAGTCCACACAGTGAGTTTGGTGCAATAATATAACAACTAAAGTCTGTCAGCATTATGACACAATAAGACGTATAATAAAACTTTTCTTTAAGTTTTCTGAGCTGTTTTATATGAATATTTATAAGATTATCCTAAATAATCATAATTACACAATTATCTCATAACTGGACAAAGAAAGAAGAACCAAAAACAAGCTGGTAAAGAACAGGAGCTACCAGTTGGAACAACTAAGAGGCTTCAACTTTAGTTGGGTCTTCAAATGGACAGTTGGTCTCACAAAGACCCTTCGACATCATAAAAAAATGTTACCGATCTTGCTGTAAGATGTTAAAATATATCTATATCATCCAAACTTCAGTAATATAAATACTAAGACATGATGGTGACTGGAACTTCAGGTGTTAATTATGGCTTTTACTATATTCAGTTAATGACTTATATTAGGTTTTACATAAAGTATTTTTACATTTTACAGATAGATGCATTGATTGTTTAAATTATGATAATTTGTGTACTTGTACCACATGGCACAGCAAAAAAGAAAAACAAAACATTAAAAAAACATAGAAACCATTTTTCCTGCATATTTTTTTTCACACATTTTGTCATACATTATTCAAGGGAACTGACTCTGAATGTGTACCTTGAGGACTTTGAGTCTCTGCTTGTTATTCTTGGGCACTGTGTCTGCTGTGACCAGCTCGATGTCGTAACCATCGCCTGAGTGGCCAACTATGTCGTACTGAAAGCAGAAAACAAACAGTAAGTTCACAAAGAAAGAACAACTGATGGCTTGAGGAGGCACCAAAAATAATTCAAATGTTTGCACAACATTTATGTCACTTCACATTAAAATGACCTAAAGCAGTGGTTCTCAAACTGTGGGGCACAACCTCTAAGGGGGGGGGGGGGGGGGGGCAGTGCCACGATGAACATGCACATGAACATTCCTAATTATCTTTGGCCCTAAAACAGATGTAAAACAATAGTTGAACTAATGTTTAAAAGAGATGCAACTGGGACTTATTTTTGTGTTGCACAAAGTTCTTTTTCATGGCGACTGATTGACCACATGTTGGACATTGTGGCGTCCTTATTCTACAGACGGCACATGATTAAGATAGATGATGAACAAATACTTTATTTCTCTTTATTGGAGAAATAATGTAGCAAGTGTGAATGTAACCATGTCATCAGGTAGGCCTTTGCCCCCAAAGATTAATTTTTGGCCACCCCAAGAGCCACCTCCATCGTTTGAGGGAACTTTACTTTTACGCAATATAAAAACTAAAAGCATAGTTTCTTAAAATGATTGGCGTGGCTGGTTTACATTTAAATATGGTGGTGGCCATTCTTGGATTTTGACATGGCAACCCAATTTTTGATGGTGACCTTTCTTATGCCTAGATGCAGCCACACACCAAAATGGACGTCAGCTTGTTGCTTATATTTCAAGCTATCCAGCTCACAAGTTTTACATATAAACATATATGGTGGCAGCCATCTTAGACTTTGACGTGACAATCCAATTTTCAAAAATAAACTTTCCTACAACTAGATATAGCCAAACACCAAAATGGGAGTTGGTACCTCACTTATTTTTCAAGTTATTATGCTCTCAACCTGGACGGAGAGAAGGTCAGAGGGTATTTCCAGTCCAACTGTATTATCCGTGATGGGGAACAAGAGAACAAAAATAATTTGTGTGTCTGAAAACTGTCAGCTGACAGGGTAAAAAAAACACATTGAAACATTACATCTAGGTAACGGTAAGCCACTCAAGTTCTTAAAAAAGGTGAATCTTTTGAGCAGAAAATTGTTGTAAAAATAGGCAACAATGAAGATATAGCACAAAGCCCAAATCGCTGTGATAAAATGCCATGTTTGTTGTTAAAAACTTTTATCTCTCCAACGTGGCATTAACTGTTGGAGAACCACTGTCCTAAATGAACAAATGGTAAATGAGCTGTACACATGAAGTGCCTTTCTATCCAACCAGAGTTACAACAAGCACTTTACAACACAATCTGTGCTCTCATTTACCCTAGCCACAAACATTTTTTTACAGTACTCTGCTACATTTTCTACAACACTTATCTGAATAAATAACATCTATAGAGACTAATCAGTGCTTTAGAGAACATTCATACACTGAAGGGACACACACTGGAGGCAATGATGGGTTCAGTGTCTTGCTCAGGGACACTTGAACATGGACATCCCTTCCTGCTGTCATATGCTAACCTGTCAGATGATGGTCCCCACGGAGCATCTGTCATAACCAGACTAAAAAAGCCAGGCTCAGTCTGCCACTCTGGGCTTCACAGCTACTTTAGAGGGTACTTATTACATACAGGATGTGCTTGGGGCATTTATGACTCTGGCAGTTTGAGTATTCAAAAAATGTTAAACTAACATATAAGTTAGTTGTTTTTCATTCACAACTGTTTACGACTTGAAAAGCATTTTTCAAAAAACATCAACAAAACATAAACCAACAAAAACACTAATATAATTTAAATCTACATTGCTGACATACGTGTGTTCTTCCCTTTTTGGACTGAGCAGACATCTGTAGACAGTCATAAATATGACACGTAACTACAAAGTGACAAATTCCCAGGGCTAATGTTGCAGGAGGCCAACTCTTCTCACACACATTTTCCAACATAAATTTGACTTTAAAATAAAATAACATAACACCCACACTTCAAAAATGTAGCCAACATAACCAAACACTGAAAGAGTGTTTGTCTTATTTATCAAATGTTCTTGTAAAACATTTAATGCAAAGTGACCTGTTTGACACATGCGGCACACAAAAATGCCTGCGTAACTTGGAACATGAGATCAGTTTAAGGATGAGTTAAGTGTCACTAGGGGCCAAGATGTCTGTCTGCCTTCCACTCATATTGCAGACACATTTCTAGATGTCTCCTGAAAAGAAGCTTGGTAACATAAAAAGATTACCAGGTGTTATGCATTTTATTTATACATCTAAAAATGTATATCTAAACAGACATAACCATCTCTCTCTCTTATAAATATATATATATATATATATATATATATATATATATATATATATATACACATATTCCTTGCTACTTCACTGCTAGATTTTCGTGGACTCGCTCTGTCGCGGTTTGTGGACATACACTCCATCCAAAACATTGCAATTTTTTTTTACACACGATTGTGGACTGTATAGTAATATTACTGTACAGAACTCATGTGGATGTGAAAACGTTAATGACAAAAAATAATCGTTCTGACACGCGCTGCCATTTTGTAGTTTTCTTTCATTCAGCCTCTAACTGTACTGTTATCACCACTCAGACGGACTACATTTCCCTCAGATCAATGCCGTGCTGTGCTCTAGTGCCTCTGGGAGCTGTTTTCTGCTGAACAGTATTTTTGCAAAGTGAAGTTATGACTGCTGAACCTGCCTTTCAAAAGTAAAATTTAATTAATGTCACATGGAAAAGTTGTTTTTGTGATGATGTTACCTTAAACTTATCCTCATAGCTCTCCAGAGCCTCCATGACCATACACACAGCCTCCATTGAGCGCTCCAGCCTGCCGTCCACGCCATTAAAGCGGTACATGCTTCCTGACACATCAGCCAACACCCGCAAACGCTTCGGTTTCTGCTGTGGACTTCCAAGCTGTAAAGACAGAAAAATCAACAAAAATTACCAGCAGAAAAGGACGAAAGATAAAATGTAGGTACAGTGGAGGTACTTTAAATTGGTTTCTTTGACTTTTGTTTTTGTTTTCTGGCTATGAGTGTAAAACGTGGTGTAATGTTTTCAATGTAGTTCTTGTTAGCTTACTCAACAATAAAGGAGAGCAGAAGACATTTCTAAATTGTTTGTGTCTGAACAAAAACAGGGTGTAAAAAAAAAAAAAAAATCACAAAAACCTTTGTTTAAACATAATATCTGACAGATATACAGTGGTTGAAATGATGCATTTGTAACTACTAGGCTGATGGGAAAACTATTAGGAATAAAAGAACTGACTGTAGTAAAAACATAAACACACCTCTGGGTCTAGCTCTCCCCTGCGTTTATAAATGGCCTTCTCTCCAGTTAGTCCATCAATTATTTTAGCATCATCCAGTTCTCCCATAGCTTGGTTCTTTATCCATTGCCTCTCCTTCCCTTTAGCCTAAAACACACACACATGCCCACACACAGATGCACCATTGTTCAGTAATTAGGACTAAGAGATGGAAGGCACTCGAAGATGAATCTTGGGTGCAAAACATATAAACAATAAAGAAGGAACAATAAAACATGGCAGAAAATGTTTGAAAAATACATCAAAAGAACAAATTCATAAATCAGAATGACATAAAATCACTTTTGAATACCTCACAACACAAACAATTTAAATAAAAATCAAGGAACAACAGTATGAAAATGACAACTAAATAAAAAAGAGAACGCATTACCCAATTCTTTAAAAAAACAAACAGGAATTTGGCATGTTTTACTCAAGTGCTCACATCTTGTAAATGTTCCAAAACCACACAAGAAACGTGCAAAACATGCATTTACACATTAACATACTTTGACAAATAAAAATAGGATTTTCCACACGACATTCATGAATTTTGTTCCATATTCAGGGAAAAGATGCAAACCATGTTTGAACTGACTTAACTTAGTTCATTTTCACATGTGAAATCATGCTTTTTTTCCCCTGTAAGAAATGACACAATTTTATTTTTTGTATTTTCTAAATACTGTGTTCTGTTCACACACGTTTATTTAATCTGTGACTAGAAATGAAACATAAAATGTAACCATCGCTTTGAGACTGAAATGAGCAAACACCTAATTTGGAGATTAAGTTTCAAATTAGTTAAAAACTAACAACAAGAACAAAATATTTCTAAAACTAATAATACATAAAACAACACTTCTAAAACAAAGGAGAACATCAGGAGAAATATTCTATTGTTGAGAGGAGAGATGTAAACTTCCTCTGGCAGATGGAAACAATTCTGACATCAATCTAGTGCTAAGCTCTGAGCGATAAAGAGCTTTTGTATATTTGAACAGGTATGAACAACTCTTTCAATCACTCTTCAGGTATGGTAAAAATACCATGACTTAATGATGTCTCTCCTGACTGATTTGGAATAATGCCCAGCTTTACAGTGAAAACACATCCCAGGGCAACAAGGACAAAAACAAACGACAGTTCTCCTTAATTTTTAAAGCTGTGCTGTGAACACCTGTATGGAAACCCAGGAACAATCCCACCTGGACAGGAGAATAATAGAGCAAAGCTTGGTGACGCTGCTCTGTAATCACTGGTGCACGACTGCTCGTTGCACGAAAACACACACGCACAGCAGAGCTGCTCAGGATGGGAGACTGCGACAAAGTGAAGATTGAACACAACCTGCTGCTTCCTTAGACATAACTTTAACTAATTGTCTTTTATAATGTATGTGAATGTTTCTGTTCAGTGCCCTGAGACAACTTCTGTTGTGACTTGGAGCTGTAGAAATAAACTGAACTGCTCATCCAGCAACACTCAAACAAAAGAAGAAAAGTGGAAATTATAACAAAAAAATTGAGACAACGCAACAATGTAGATTTCTGTCACCACTCCTAATATTTCAGTTAACCAGCTAATCAGAGGGCTCCTAAGGGACAACACCCACTTTTACCGTTATGAAATTTGTATGATCATAGGTCAAACAATGGACAACTTGTTTTAATTGTCACTATGAAGAGTAGGTGCTTGACTTCAAGTTGGGTAAGCCTGAACAAAAAGGGTTGGATCAAAATTAAGAGAAAGTTGTATATTTATTTTTATAGAACTGGACTTCTAATAGTGGCAGAAAAAAATGTAGCCTAAAGTTTTAAGAGTAGCAGTTCAGAATCAGAATAAGCTTTATTATCATTGTACCGAGATGCAACAAGAATATGTCCGTACAGTCGTCCGAAATATGGGCAGAGTGCACGTAACTGCTGCTATAAAGTGTGGCCTTCTTATCCTTTTCAAAATATATTTTTAGATGGAAAAAAAGGGACAAAGCCATGAGGAGAGGATAGTGGCATTACAAAATTGTCCTGATAAGATGATGATGACCAGCCGGCACAGTTCTGATTAACCTCCACAGAAGATGATGAATGGATGAAAGACAAAACGTTTCTACAATTTTTTGTTTTGTTTTTTTGAATGTCACATTTAACTTTTTTAGATTTTTCTACCTGGATTATTGAGCATGCATCAGGATACTCCACAGAAGATGTGTGTGTGTGTGTGTGTGTGTGTGTGTGTGGGGGGGGGGGGGGGGGGGGGTTTGGGGGGCCAGACAAAGCTTTTCCGTATTTTACACATTTCTCAGGAGAAATTGATAAGTCGGCCTGTTTCGAGGTCAACTGGAGAGTCAGATTCAAATAACAACAATTGTTGATTTATTCAGGCAGACTATTTTTCTTGTCAGCCTTGAGTCTGTACTGATAATTCCAAGGTCTGAAATGGCCAGATTAGGGTGCATTCTACTGGTCCGTGCTTATGAGCCTCTTCAAGGTAATTTTCTTGCTGACGAGTCCCAAAACTGCAGGCGGCCTGCGATTCAAATCACTTCCATCTTACGGTTTAGCTTGCAAATCAGCTGATTTTAAGTCCTCCAAACACGAACCAAACCTTCACATAGGCAGCAGCCTGACGAGGGAAAAAATAGCTGCGGCCGTCTTCTTTGTACGTTGATAAACCAGGATTCAGAGTATTCCAAAAACAGGAAACCTGTTATCATAAATCCAATTATATGCATTTTGGTGTCCTCAATTGATAGCAGCGGTAGACACATCACATTCCACTTCCCCAGAGATATATCCAACTGCATGCGTGTCGTCCGAGCAGATGAGGGTTCTCCAGGACCCTGTCGCTTTGCTGAAAAGATTTTGTCATTTGTGTGGAAAGTCCAGTTCAAAACATTAGTTTTCATTTCAGAAGATGTGCAAAAATAGGAGCTACAATACAAAGACAGAGAGCAAAAAGCAGGAGGAAAACAGATAGAGGGAAGAGAATGTGTACGCCTCGTTACAGAGCCAGTGAGGAAAAAATAAAATAAAATAGACTTTCTAAATGAACTTTGTGTGTAACAAAACAATTCTGGGGAATAACTAGAAACCAGATTCCAAAAAAGTTGGGACACTAAACAAATTGTGAATAAAAACTGAATGCAATGATGTGAAAATGGCAAATGTCAAAAATTTATTCATAATATAACATAGATGACAGATCAAAAGTGTAATCTGAGTAAGTGTAACATTTTAAAGGAAAAATATGTTGATTCAAAATTTCACAGTGTCAACAAATCCCAAAAAAGTTGGGACAAGTAGCAATAAGCAGCTGGAAAAAGGAAATTGAGCATATAATGAACAGCTGGAAGACCAATTAACGCTAGATAGGTCAATTGACAACATGATTGGGTATAAAAAGAGCTTCTCAAGAGTGTCAGTGTCTCTCAGAAGCCAAGATGGTAAGAGGATCACCAATTCCACCATTGTTGCACAGAAAGATAGTGCAGCAATACCAGAATGGTTTTACACAGCGTAAAATAGCAAAGACTTTTAAGTTATCATCATCAACCGTGCATATCATCATCAAAAGATTCAGAGAATCTGGAACAATCGCTGTGCGTAAGGGTCAAGGCCGTAAAACTCTACTGGATGCTCGTGATCTCCGGGCCCTTAAACATCACTGCACCTCAAACAGGAATGCCACTGTCAAGGAAAACACAGAATGGGCTCAGGAATACTTCCAGAAAGCATTGTCAGTGAACACAATCCACCGTGCCATCCGCCGTTGCCAGCTGAAACTCTACAGTGCAAAGAGGAAGCCATTTCTAAGCAAGCTTCACAAGCTCAGACGTTAGCCCAAGTTGGTATCAACGCTCCGTTCAGAAGCCTGCATCACTGATGGTATGGGGTTGCGTGAGTGCTTGTGGCATGGGCAGCTTGCATGTCTGGAAAGGCACCATTAATGCAGAGAACTTTGTTCAGGTTCTAGAACAACATATGCTCCCATCTAGACGTCATCTCTTTCAGGGAAGACCCTAAATTTTTCAACAAAATTAAAACCAGACCACATTCTGCAGCAATCACAACATCATGGCTATGTAGGAGAAGGATCCGGGTACTGAAATGGCCAGCCTGCAGTCCAGATCTTTCACCTATACATTTGGCGCATCATAAAGAGGAAGGTGCGACAAAGAAGGCCCAAGATGATTGAACAGTTAGAGGCCTGTATTAGACATGAATGGGAGAGCATTCCTATTTCTAAACTTGAGAAACTGGTCTCCTCTGTCCCCAGACGTCTGTTGAGTGTTGTAAGAAGAAGGGGGGATGTCACACAGTGGTAAACATGGACTTGTCCCAACTTTTTTGGGATTTGTTGACACCATGAAATTTGGAAACAACAGATTTTTCCCTTAAAATGATACATTCTCTCAGTTTAAACTTTTGATCTGTGATTTGTGTTCTATTCTGAATAAAATATTAGATGTTGGCACCTCCACATCATTGCATTCAGTTTTTATTCACAATTTGTTAAGTGTCCCAACTTTTTTGGAATCCGGTTTGTAGTTACAAAGTTACATAATTTATTTACAAAGTAATCTTAACAGTAGTCTATAAAAATGTTTTGATCATATTTATTGAGTTTTGTGGGAAATTAAATCCCAAATTTTTTATTTGAATTTGAACTCTGAATGAAACCACATTAAAACAGGCGCTAAAGTCTGACCATCAGTGGCTGTCATTTTAAAAAAGTGATAAATTACTAGGATCTTATCCTGATGCATGCTCAATAATCCAGGTAGAAAAATCTAAAAAAGTTAAATCTGGTCCTCTGGACATTCAAAAAAAAAAAAAACCAAAGCAAAACAAAGCAAAACAACAAAAAATGTAGAAACGTTTCGTCTCTCATCCGAGAGACTTCCTCAGTCTGAGGTGCTGTATTCAGCTCAGTCTCTTAAATAGCACCTTCTCGGAGTGGATCAACCAGTTTTGCTGCTGACAACCAAAACCAGCTGATCATATGCTCAAGAAGGACCATCAGCCTAACAATGGATCATTAGCACACTGATGGCTGTTTACTATTCACAGAGGGCTGAGTGATACTAGCAATCACAGCATTGTAAGAGGGGGGCAATTGAACACGTAGGCCTCCACCCCTGTTTAATGATGGACGGTTTCTTTTCACAGAGATGGCCTCCTTTACTCCTCTCGCAAACCATTGTTCCTCTCTGTCCAGGATGTGCACATCTTCATCCCTGAAAGAGTGACCGCTGGCCTGGAGATGAGTGTAGACCGCAGAATCCTGGCCTGATGATGTTGATCTTCTGTGCTGGGCCATCCTTTTGGCCAGTGGCTGTTTAGTTTCCCCGATGTAAGACTGATCACAGCCCTCCTGACA